TCATCAAATTTACTTTTGGTTAGTATTAGAAATTAGAATTCTAGTCTTAAGTGTCTGTCAGCATTGTAGGCATAAGTAGTTCAATGAATAATATACATTCACAGATATAAAATATACTCTATTATTCAGCAATATAGAGACTACAAATTCGTTTTCCAGATGTTTAACCCTGTGATTAACTTTTATTTCCTATAAAACTCTTGAGTTAAAATTACCTTCCTAGCCTTACTCAATAGAAATATTAGTTATATCTTTTTCATTAGTGAAATCAGCATGTGGGCATTGATTTTTTTTTTTCATCACATCATGCCAGTTGAATCTGGAAACTTGCTTTCTTGAAGTAATGCTTACACAAACTTGTTTTTAAACTTTTGCCTCTTCCTCATTAAGAAAGAAAAACCTTTTGTTTTTTAATGTCACTGTTCATTTCCCAAGGCTGTGGGTAACATGGCTCCATTCATAAAAAATAGTACTGGATCAGGAGCTAAAGCAGCTTCTCCCGAATGAGGCTTTTCTCTTCTTTAAAAAAGGGAGATGGAGGGGAGTTTCTCCACAGCCCTGTCTGAACTGCTGTAGAGCCACCCAGCCATTCCATAACTCCTCTTTCTCTAGACAAAGCTGGGTAAATTCCAAGGATCAGCTTCGGGTAGAGTACTTATCCAACATGCATGGAGCCTGGGTTCTGACCCCAGCCTTGTAAAGAGTAATAATCGTGACAACAGAGGAAATTTTCAAGAGCTAATGACTGGCTGTTTGGAGCTGTGTTAGTCAGTGTTCCATTGCTGTGAACAGATGCCATAACCACAGCAACTCCTAAAAAAGAAAGCGTTTAATTGGGGGCTGGCTTACAGTTCACATGTTTAGTTCATCTTGGCAAGAAGCATGGTGGCATGTAGGCAGACACGGTGCTGGACAGATAGCTGAGTTCTACATCTGGATCTGCTGACTGCAGGAAGAGAGACACTGGGACGTGACTTGGACTTTTGAGCCCTCAACGCCTGTTCCCAGTGACACGCTTCCTCCATCAAGGCCATTCCTCCTAATCCTTTTAAATAATGCCACTCTTTGTTGATTTGGCATTTAACTATATGAGCCATGGGGGGCATTCTTACTCAAACCACCCCAGAAGCCATGTTAGTTTTATTGAGAACAGTGTGATTGAGTTTTTATATTTTTAAGAATTTGGAGCCAGGCATAGTAACACACAACTTTAATTCTATCATTTGGTAGGCAGAGGCAGGCAGATCTCCTGAGAGTTCAAGACTAACCTTATCTGCATAGTGAGTTCCAGGCTAGCCAAAGCTACATAGTGAAACTGTACTCAAAAATAAATAATTTTTAATGAATTTGGAGTGATAGGGATGTACCTCATTAAAAGAGCATATGTGAAACCTAGGTTTGATCCCAAGCACCACAAGTCTAATGAGACTTGTGAACAATATTAGAAAAATCCCTCCCAGGTCTTTAAGTGGGAAGATACAAGAGGGTTTTTTGTTGTTATTTTTTTAACATGGTACATTGATTGTTTGGTTTGACTGTTTAAGACAGGTTCTTATGCAGCACTGGCTGGCTTCAAATTCACTATGTACCCAAAGATAAGCTTCAAATCCTGATCCTCCTGCCCCTACATTTGTGTCACCATGCACAGGTTACATGATGGATTGTTATTCTTTCTATACAGTGGAGGACATTCTGAATATCTTTTACAACATGATCTGGACATCTCAACTATCTTTTTCCAATATGATCTTACTGCAGCAAAGGGCTTTTCTAGTAATTGTTAAGAGGTTACCTATGCTATGGTAAAACTATTAAAAATCTGCTGAGTAGTTTTGAAGAGTCACTTGTTAGCTCAGTAAAAGTGAAATTAAAATACTTGCGATTTTATGAAAGAAGAAAATTTGATTTGGATTCTTCTTAAAAGTTTAACTTACTTATTTTAAAAATATTTTAAACTTTTATTTTTGTATATGTGTGAGAGAGACACAGGTACAAGAAGAGGGTGTCAGATGTCCTGGAACCAGAGGTAAGGCAGTTGTGAGCCACCTGATGAGCTTGCTGCCTGATTCCCGTCATCTGGAAGAGTAGCAAGTGCCCTTAACCACTGAGCTATCTCTCCAGCCCCCAAAGCTCAACTAATTTATAAATACTGTTTCTTGAGATAACTTGTAACCCTGGAGTTTTAACAAAATTTTCATATTCATATCTCAATATAACAAAGATTTTTTTTTACTTCAAATATTACAGTTCAAAAATCCATCCCCTCGTCATATAGACACATGTAGTACACTACACTAAGTGAATAGACATGGAGCGGGCAGGCCTGACTCCAGCATGTTAGGACTCCCGCTTTCCCCTTCAGGGTAGCATCAGGTTACAGATGACAGTGAGTTAAGAAAGTTTTTGTCAGCCGTATAATCAATTTCATACGTTTTAATTTTTAGGAAAACAGACAATGCAAGGTAAATTTTCTTTCTTTTTTGAAAACTGTAACAATTGCATGATACTCTGGTCCACACATTGATATAACAAAAATCACTTTAATTATAAAATTAGGGTTCCTTAGTCTATAATGATACCTTCCTATAATCTTAGCATTCAGGAGGCAGGGGGATTGAGAGGTGGATCCCACCTGGGCTGCATAGTACAAGAGAGCTGGGGGTGTAGTCCAGTGGTAGGGCTTTCCGACCAGGAACAAAGCCCGAGTCCAGCCCTCAGCACACATGGGCAGGGATGGGAGTTGAGCTCCTCAGAGCTGCCATCTAATCTTTAATTTGCTTTATCCTTCTTTCAGCGATCTTTCCAAACATCCATCTTTGACCTTGGCATTGTCTGTACTGTGTGTCAGGAGACATCTGTCCTTCCTGTCTGTTCCCAGAGCCCCCTCTCGTGACTGCGTGTCTTCCTGGTTTAGACTTTACATCCCACTTTTAGAACATATCCTGTCCATAATTCAAGTAAGATTGTTGATAAATAGAAGGTTTATTTTCTCCTCTCTCGGATGCTTTGGCTCATTTTCCTTCAAAGTAAGAAACTTACCTTTATTTCCCAGTGGTGTTGAGAACCACTTTTATCTGTAGTCTTTTGTAAAGCTTTCCTTCTCAGGGTTACCTCAGTTTCTTTTATCTGATATTCTTAGGACCAGAAGCATTTTTAAATGTTGTTTATTTTCCCAGATTTTGGAATTTTTACATATATGTAATGAGATCTCGTGGAAGAGCCCAAGTCTAAAACCATTCATTCAGGTTTTATGTATATCTTATTCACATAGCCTGATAGTAATTTTACACGCATTTTTAATTTGCCTGTGTTTTGCCTGCAGCCCACCACGTAGTCAGGTGTAGAATCTTCCACTGGTGACACCAGCTGACCCTTTAAAAGTTTGACATTTTTGGAGCATTTCAGATTTTACATTAAGGAGTCCTCAAACTATCTTCATTACTTCTAGAAGTCTAAGTTTTTAGAATGATGTACTATTTAGCACACTTGTTGACTATGGAAACTCGTCCCTCTGTTCTGAGGGGGAAAATACTGTTGAAGATAAAGACAGCACTTGGTATAGTATTGCTTGGAAAGTTAGGAATAATTAGGTTTTATTTCGAAATGTATTAGTCTCTAACCAAACCACTTGATTGTTGAGGTTTTTAATATTCTGAAATTAAGAAACTTAATCATAATTAGCATGTTGTGTGACTGATTTTTTGATACGAAGTCCAGCTTTCATGTGAAAATATTTAGAAAAATAGGACCCCGCCTCTCAATTCCTGACTTAACTTTTGCTTCACTTACAAACACTTAGGTAGGCTGCAGAGATGCCCAGAAGTTAAGAGGATTTATTGGTTTTGCAGCAGACCTACATTTGGTTCCCAGCACCCACACCAGCAGGCTCACAACCACCTATGGCTGCAGTTTCAGGAGACCTCCAGCTTCCTCGGGTACCTGCATGCTCATGGCACACAATTCAAAATGACTAAAAACATGTTTTAGAAATACTTGCATAAATTCATTATGAATTCTAGTATGTGTAGCCAATGAAATTTACCTGCTTGTTTTCAAATGATCAAGAATGTTAGAGTAGATCTGGAGAGATGGCTCACTGGTTAAGAGCACTGACTGCTCTTCCAGAAGTCCCGAGTTCAATTCCCAGCATCCACACGGTGGCTCATAACCAACCATCTATAATGAGATCTGGTGCCCTCTTCTGGCCTGCAGGCAAAACACTGTATACATAATGAATAAATCTTTTTTTAAAAAGAATGTATGAAGAGAATACCTCTAAAAACTGCAAAGTCTGATAATGATGTCACTACTTACTGGAATTAATAGACAAAACTCTTTTAGAAGTATGTACTTGGCATTCTTATTGCTCCTTGGTAATTGTTTACTTAATAGATTCTAAAACTTTCAACTTGAAATTGTTGATATTTTAATCAGTAGAAATGGAAACAAGACAAGAAATAATACAGGTTATTAGTTCTAACTACTAGCTCATAGATTTGTAACTATCTCACACAGAATTTATGAGAAATAAATTGTGTTGTGAAACAAGAAAAAGAAACTGAAAGTCAGATGTGATGACACATGACTTTAATTCTAGCATTCAATTGGGGGAAGAGGGAATGCTGTAAAGTTAAGGCCAGCCTGGGCCGTACAGAGCTTTCCAGGTCGGCCAAGGCTACATTGCAAGACTTTGTCTCAGGAAACCAGTAAAAGAAAAATAGGGAACGGATAAATAAGTACAAGGTATACTGCAAAACTGTGAACTATTCCTATCCAAGCATGTATTATGGCTGAGAGAGGACCATACTGAAATTTCGCTATGAGAAAGGAATCCATTATGTTGCCTCCTTGGTATGAGGAAATATATCCCAATGTGGTGGAGCAATGCACAGGACACCTGGGGCTGCCTGGCAGTATGCATCCCTCCTTCATACTGACTGCTTTCACCTTGTGTCTAATAGGTGAGCGGGTTGCTAATGACTTCCTTCTTTCTTTCTTAGATTCATCCAGAAAGCGCCCAGAAGAATCTTCCTGTCAGAAAAGCTAAAAATGCGGTATTTATAACACTGGGAGTTTTAAGTAATTTGTTTAAAATGGCTGAAAACAATAGTAAAAACGTAGATGTCCGGCCTAAAACAGGCCGCAGTAGAAGCGCTGACCGAAAGGATGGCTATGTGTGGAGTGGAAGGAAGCTGTCCTGGTCCGGAAAGACGGAGAGCTGTTCTGAGTGGGAGACCATAGATCCTGAAGAAAAAGCCAGAGCTCCTCGACGGAGCCAAGAAAGGGACAGCTGCTCGCCCATTGACTTGGACTTAGACAATTCCTGTGGGCATAGATTTTTAGGCCGGTCCCTTAAACAGAAGCTGCAGGATGCTGTGGGGCAGTGTTTTCCAATAAAGAACTGCAGCGGTCGGCACTCTACAGGGCTTCCATCTAAAAGGAAAATTCATATCGGTGAGCTCATGCTAGACAAGTGCCCGTTCCCACCTCCATCAGATTTAGCCTTTAGGTGGCATTTTATTAAACGACATACTGGTCCTGTAGGTCCAAAATCAGATGAATGGGTGAGCACAGACTTACCTGGGAGTAAACTGAGGGATGCTCAGCTAAAACGAAGAAACATGGAAGAAGACATGCCCTGTTTCTCACATACCAGTGTTCAGCCTTGTGTCATAACTACCAACAGTGCTTCGTGTAGAGATGGTCACATAACTGGCTCTTTGATGAACTTGGTCACAAATGACAGCATTGAAGATAGTGATATGGATTCAGAAGATGAGATCATAACACTGTGCACAAGCTCCAGAAAAAGAAACAAGCCCAGGTGGGAAATGGATGATGCAATCCTGCAGTTGGAGGCACCTCCCAAGCACCACCCCCAGCTGGATTACGTTCACTGCCTTGTACCAGACCTCCTTCAGATCAGCAACAACCCGTGCTACTGGGGCGTTATGGACAAATACGCAGCCGAAGCTCTGCTGGAAGGAAAGCCAGAGGGCACCTTTTTACTTCGAGACTCAGCACAGGAAGATTACCTATTCTCCGTTAGTTTTAGACGCTATAGTCGTTCTCTTCATGCTAGAATTGAACAGTGGAATCACAACTTTAGCTTCGATGCCCACGATCCATGTGTCTTCCATTCTCCTGACATTACCGGGCTCCTAGAGCATTATAAGGACCCAAGTGCCTGTATGTTCTTTGAACCACTCTTATCCACTCCACTAATCCGGACTTTCCCCTTCTCCTTGCAGCATATCTGCAGAACAGTTATTTGTAATTGTACAACTTATGATGGCATCGATGCCCTTCCAATTCCTTCTCCTATGAAACTGTATCTGAAGGAATACCATTACAAGTCCAAAGTTAGGTTACTCAGGATTGGTGTGCCCGAGCAGCAGTGACGGGAAAGGCTAGGAGTGTGGACTTGCAGGTGGATTTTCATTTATTCTTATTTTTCTTATGCCTCTTTGAATTTTTCTACAAAGGCAGTTAGAATCCAAAATAAAACTGCCCTAAATTTTAATTCCAGATTAGTTTATTTTCTTATGATACACTTGTTATATATTTTTAAGCGGGTGTTTTTTTTTTTTGCCGTGTAAATTGTATATTTTCCCCTTAATTTACATATGGTCCGGGCATATTGAAATTTCAAGGCATTGCAAATGCATTTGAATATTGTGATTTTTTTTTTAAAAATAATCTTCTGCTCTTCCCTGCATGTGAAATGCTTTGCTAATCTATGCTATCGGTATTCTTGTATGGCAGAATAGTTACCTTTCCCACTTTGATTTTAAAATTCTTCAGTAAAGATGAGTGTTGTAGTCTGTCCATGATAATGTAATGGCAAATAGGAGTGGTAGGCAACAAAATGGTTTAAGATGAAACTTAATGTGTCTTTTTTTTAAATACTACCTAAAACAGGTTGTTTGTTTGTTTTTTAATTTGGCCATTGAAAAGAGATAATGTTATGTTCTAGAAGTGCATTTGTTCTGCAGTACAGCGGGATCATCAATAAATCCAAATACAGCAGCCACTCAGCCTGGAAGAGGTGACTGATATAATGTAACTTGCGTTCCTTTCTTACGGAAGCTTTACAAATAAAATAGCATTATTAGAAACTTGGAGTTGCCAAGACAGCTAGAGTTTTTCTGTATTAATTTGTGGACTGTCACTTCTACTTAGCTCTTTCCTGGGAACTCTGGTTTCTAAGGGAAATACATAGTTTCTAAACAGCTCCCATATCCACCAGTAACAAAGAGACCTGAATAGTTTCTCATTATTTGAAACTGAACTTAAATACAAATGCAAGCAAAAAACATGGTTCAATATTTAGGAAGTTTAATATTCATTTTGGTCTTCACAACCTAAATAATGATTTCTGTCTTCAGACCTAACATGTATTTTACGTGGCTTCAAAAAGGGGAAGACATGGCAATACCTTCACGACATAACATACTGGACAGGAGGGCAAAATAATATTTCACATTTACGATCGTAAGAGCAGCACAGCATTTTAGGACCATCACTGGCCTGAAGTAACCAGTAAGAAAGACAAGCAGTCTGTGCCCTATTTATCTACTCGGTGACAGACCTACACAGATTGCCCAGAGGTCCTCGTGGTAGGCTGTCTGCCCCTTTGAAATACTGTGGTAGTTTTTATTTATTTCCTGTGTGTGTCTGAGTGAGAGTGACAGTATCTCTCCATTAGCCTAGGCTGACCTCCCATTGGGGACTGGACAGCCTGAGTTTCAGGATTACAGGTTTCTTTTTCTTGCTTTCCATTTCCTTTCTTTTTTTTTTTTGTTGCTTTTTTTTATTTGTTTGGTTTTTGTTGTTGTGTAGATTATTTTATTTTTGTTTGTTTAAAATAGAGCTTCTCTGTGTAGCCCTGGCTGACCTGTAGCTTGTTGCATAGACCAGGCTGCCCTTGAACTCACAGAGATCCTCCAGCCTCTGCCTCACAAGCACTGGGATTAAAGATATGCATGACTTCGCCTGGCTAGTAATTGATTTTTTTGATGCTAGTTCTGCTGGATTAGAAAACTTGCTTCAGGCTGTATTAAAAGAACATTGACTCCTAAATTCCAAGTCAGGTCAAATGTTTCTTGCTGGCATAGTGGTGCACACCTCTAATCCCAGCACTTAAGAACCAGAGGGATGAATATTGCTGCAAATGTAAGCCAGTTAGAGCTGTATGGGGAAAATTTGTCTCAAAAAAAATTTTTCCCTTAATTCTTGTTGTATAATATGTTAAAGAAACTTTTTCTGATCTTGAAGGACTATTAATGTAAAGAAAACATTCTTCGGTATTGTTTTATTGGTCATGGTAGTTCATCCCTGTATTCCCAGAACTTGGAAACTGAGGCAGGAGGATTCCCATGTGTTCTGGAACAACCTAGGCTACAGAGTGAGACCCTGTTTCAATACCCTCCCCCCCCCCCCCCAAAAAAAAAAAACCCAACCTAATAGCTTCAAATTTTTCAACCATTACTAAATTCATGTGTGGAAAATCTTTTACCATTCTCTTTTAGAATTTTTTTTCCTTAGCGGTCTAAAGATGGTCTGGATCTGTGAGAGGTAGCCACTCAAGACATGCCTCTTACAGATGTAATGAGCCTCAGGCTGTGGACACTTGTGGGGTGACTACATACCCTCTAAAGAAGATGCTGCCCTTCCTAGAAGTGGAGTCTCCAACTACCTCACCTTTGCTATGGCACTTTTGTAGTTGCTGAGATGATGCTCCTCTTACTAACTGGTATAGCATTTCCTAAGTCTCCTTCTCTGGTGGCAGAATCTATAGTGTGGGAAGACTCCACTCACGCTCACAGCTCCTTATCAGAATTTGTAGACCTGTTGCTGTGAAACAATTATTTTTAAATATTTTTCTTTTAAAAGTAACTTTTTATCAGTACAGAACTATCTAAGGAATGACTAGCTTATTCTGTTAAAAGGTAGTTTTATAAAGAAAAGTAAAATATAATCATGTCTTTATAAAATTAGTAAATTTGTAAAATTAGTGTTTATATGAAAGTCAAGATTTGATTATCTTTTAATATACTTCAGACTGATTGCTTATGATATATTTTCTCTGACTTCTATTCTTTTCAATTTCAAGGTATTAACAGCTATCAATATTTTCAAAATACTGCCATATTAATACACACTGCCAGTTAATACACACTGCTTTGAAGTGTGTATTAACTGGGGACAGGAGAGACTCCTTTTCTCTGAAATGTTTTGTGTTATCTTTGTAACTACAACGAAAAGAAACTGGACAGTAGAGACATGGAGGGACTTGAGAACTATCTCCTGTGAAGGAAGAAAGAGTGACAAGAAAAACAGGGAGCTGGGGTCTAGAGAAATGACCCGCTTTCCCGTGTTTGTGAAGAACAGCAGAACTCAGAAACTAACTCATGACAAAGGTTAAAATGTATTTACGACTTAAATAGCTAAAAATGAATAAATTTTATGAAGTACCCAAAGAAGTCTAAATTAAATGGAAATGTAACTCTTAACTTGACTTTTGAAACATTTGAATAGTGTCAGTTACAGCTGAAAAATTGTCCAGTGCAGGACTTGATGCGCACACCTTTGATCCCAGCACTCAGGAGACAGAGGCAGGCAGGTCCCTGAGAGTTGAGTAACAACCTGGTCGACATAGTTCCAGGCCAGCCAGGCTACATAATGAGACCGCCTCCAAACAAAAACGAAAAAGAAAGAAAGGCAGTCGGTATGGTGGAAATGTGTAGTTTGTTTGTGAGAGAAGATGGAACTAAAAGAAACAGAATATTAAAATTAAAAATTTAGGCATTATCTCAGGGAAATGCCTTGCCAGTGAAAGGGAACTACTTTCTCACTAATAGCTCTCTGGACCAGACGCCACTACCTTGGGAATCATCTTGCACAACCAGGAGGTGAACTTGACTTTTCCATCTCTCTTGAGGCTTTTCAAGACAGACCCTTCTGCTCATTGTTTAAACTACATCTTGAGTCACGCTGTGATTCCTGCAATAATGCTGAATGCATTCTTTTTAGTTTCCTTGGGTGTTTTTCTATGAAGAGTTATATGTTTATATGTGATCTTTCTGATACATAATCATGTTATTGGCCTAAATAATTATATGGCGAGAATATTAATTTAAAGAGGACCGGATAGGAATATTAGAGGAAGCTTTTAGTCAGCCTGTGGCTAGATTTATTGATTTGGTGAACAAGCCTGTATTCTTTGCTGACTTTCAGCTAATGGTGAACTGTGGTCAAAGAATGGCTTTCACTTAATGTTTTGACTTATTACAAAGAAGATAAAGAATGTTTTAGTGATTAGAAATCCTTTAAAACGTAGAACAAATGTGCAAATAAGACTCATCATCTTTTTATAAGAAAAACACATAAGCCTTTATCATTTATTCATGAGCTAAAGCCATTAAGCTAAATCAAATTATCAACTTCCTGTCTCTGGAGTTTGGTCGTTTTATAGACCCACATAGCAGAGCACTTCTTTCCTGTGAGACAGATGTTTTGAGATCTCTTACTCTCTTTCATTAAAAGTATTTGTCACTTTTAACTATAATCAGAATCCAGGAGACAAGCATATTTTTATTTTGGCAGGGCAAATTTCACAGACTATAGACTTAATTATAAGACAATCCTGAAAACAAAACAATGATAAAAAAAAAAAAGCTCATTTAGCCAGGTGTGGTGGTGCCCACCTTCTTTAGTCCCAGCATTTGGGAGGCAGAGGCAGGTGGATCTCTGTGAGTTCCAGGCCAGGGCTACCTAGTGAGAGCCTGACTCAACAAAAAAGAAAAGAAAAAAGAAGTAATAGTTATCCAAAGGAAAGGGCCTGTGACAAAACTAACCCTGAGATAGTGTTTCTAGTAAAGGGATTAGTCAATCCTAAGTCCTCTTTTGTCTTACTGTCCTGTGAAATGTAGGTAATGGTCCTATCCCTTGGTTTCCTGAACGTTCATTCAGTAAGAGGTGTCCCTTGGAGCATAGTTGAAAATACTTGCAAGTAGCTAGTACTAATCGAGAATGATCAGTTCTCAAAATAGCACCTTTGTGGAGCATACAAAAATCACATTCACTGAATCTGTAATAGGTCTTCTTGACTTGATCTGACAGTGGAGATAACAGAACAATTTGGGTCTATGGTTCAAACTCTACAATTAGATGATTGCAATTTCCTCCTGCCTTTCATAAGGTCTGTGTAAACGGATGTTCGCCTTATTTGATTACATTTGCAGGAATAAAGATAATTTTTGCCATGGCTATAAACCAAATCTAAGCTTTCAGACTTGAGCCATGCTGTAAAACTTGGATCAGTTTTGTATTAGCCAAGTATGAACTATATATACTCGAATATACAGAGCCTAATGATTTAATAAAGCTATGTTGTCAGTCATGGTGTGTGACCCATACTAGCTCCACTTTCTAATCTTGACAAACATTTGTGTGTGAGTTTAAAATTTTTAAGCTAAATAAAATTTTGCTTAATTAAATCTTCATATATAAAATCCAAAAGTGTTGTTCTTGTTTGTTTGTTTGTTTTTAAGATGTGTGTCGTGTGTTAAATTCAGGAGCATACCTT